TAAAAATGAGACCTTAAACTAGGAACAAATGAAAGGAAATAACCATCCTCAGACAACCTGAAAATATGAAAGTATTTAGCAATTAAAATTAACAAAATCTCAAAACAAACTCTACCTGTGAGAGATCTAAATCAACCCAAACAAACTTTTGGGGAACCCTGGAATTCTGAAGAACATGGTTGGCAACAAAGTCCATAATATCGTAAAGGAAAAAAAAGGTTTTGTACCTGGCTTCTGAATTTTCTTTATACTGGTATCATGCTGTCACTTAACATAGATAACATTGTGAGGTGTTTTTTTTTCCCCCATGTTGACACAAAAGTTCTGAACATAACAAAAAATTCCAATTATAGCTCAGTCATTTTGAAGCCATGTGATGTTACCCAGAGACAGACCTTGTGCAAAACTCCTAGAGAGAATGGCTATGCTGTTTGAACAACTCTGGAAATTTTTCCTAAATTGTCATGAACAAAGCTTCTACTATCTCCCCTTTCCCAGCATCACCTGCCATATGATAGGTTTAGAAGAAAGGGAAAAATCAGAATTAATTACAAAATCTCTTAGACCACAGTGACATCAGTAAGATGGCAGACTAGGAAGCTCCAGCCCTCTGTCCCCCCTGGAAACATTACAAAAACAACTAGAAACTGATTAAAATAACTTTATAGGAGCTTTGAAACCAAAGATCTAAAGCAACCAAGCAAATGCCCAATCAAGAAAAAGCCACATTCAATGTAGCAGGAAATTTTGTGGTGCTTTTAACTCTCCTTTGCCCCACGCTTTCTCCATTCAATGCAGAAAGGACAGTTTTTTCAACAATTGATGCTGAGAATACTGGATATCCACATACAAAAGAATGGAGTTGGACCCTCACCTCACACCATATACAAAAATTAACTCAAATGGACTGAAGATCTAAATGGAAGGCACAAAACTATAAAACTCTTAGAAGAAAACATAGGGGAAAAGCTTCATGACATTGAGTTTGGCAATGATTTCTTGGATATGACACCAAATGCACAGGTAACAAAAGAAAAATTAGATAAATTGAGCTTCATCAAAATTAAAAACTTTGTACATCAAAGGACACTGTCAACAGAGTGAAAAGACAACACATGGAATAGGAGAAAATATTTGCAAATCACATATCTGATAAAGGATTAATATCCAGAATATATAAAGAACGTCTACAATTCAACAATAAAAAAACAAACAAACAAACACTTGGTTGATTAAACATTGAGCAAAAGAAGATATACAAGTGGCCAGTAACTACACGAAAAGATGCTCAACATCACTAATTATTAGGGAAATGCAAATCAAACCCACAATGAAATACCACTTCACACCCATTAGAATGGCTGTTATATTTAGATATATATATAAAAACCCAGAATTTTAAAAGTATTGGTGAGGATGTGGAGAAATTGGAACACTTGTGCATTGCTGGTGGGAATATAAAATGGTATAGCTGCTGTGGCAAATGGTATGGTAATTCCTCAAAAAATTAAACACAGAATTACCATATGATCCAACAATTCCACTTCTGGATATATACTCAAAAAAATTGAAAGCAGGGACTCAAACATATTTTTGTACACTCATGTTAATAGCAGCATTATTCACAATAGCCAAGAGTTGGATGCAACTCAAGTGTCTGACAATGAATGATGGATAAATAAATGTGGTCTATACATACAACGGAATATTATTTAGCCTTAAAAACAAGGAAAATTCTAATACATGCTAAAACATAAATGAATCTTAAGGACATGATGCTAAGTGAAATAAGCTAGTCACAAGAAGACAAATACTGTATGATTACCTTTACATGAGATACCTAGAGTAGTCAAATTTGTAGACACAGAAAGCAGAATGGTGGTTGCCAGAGGCTGGTGGGGAGGAAGGTATGTGGAATTATTTAACGGGTATAGTTTCAGTTGGGAAAGATGAAGGAGTTCTGGAAATGGATGGATGGTGGTGATGGTTGCACAATGTGAATGTACTAATGCCACTGAAAGGTACACTTAAAAATGGCTAAAATGGTAAATTTCATGTTATATATATTTTATCACAATAAAAAAAATACAAATAAAAATATCTTAGACCAAAATGTCTCCAGATAGCACCTTCTGTCACTGACTACTTAGGTTAACACTTCTTTCTCTCACTGTGGCCAATAGGGGCTGTCTTGACAACTATATGAAAAGATTTTAATTTATATTTAATTTTATGATACCAAAGCATCTTTAACTTCCTAATACTTCTGAAGTCATAAATATAGTGTCTATGTCACATAGAAGCCCACATTAAGATGTATTTTTATAATCTTATTGCCAATGTACCTAAATATTTTCTTTTTATCTAATTTGAGGTGTGATATTTCACATATATTAATAAGCTAAACATTTTGGTACATGAATAGCAAAGTTAGCAAATGACCATTTGATTGACAGAACTAATTTAGGAGCAATGTACACCCAGAAGTGGTCTAACCTACATTTTTCTCTCTCTCAATTTAAATGTCCCAGATTTATTTAAGGCACATATTGGTTTCCTTACCTAAAATAATGGTCCTCCTTCATTCTACCTGCTCAAATTCTACCCATTCTTGAGGGCCCAGCTAAAGGCAAGTATTTTACAAAGCATGTATCCCAGCCCACATTCATCTTCCTAACCTCTACTCTCTAATCAATTAGTGCTTAGTAACAGACTGCCTTATATTATTTGCTATCATTTTAGTTTTACAACCAACTAAAATGTACCAAAAAAACCTGATAATTATTCTAGTCTGAAAGGACAGCCCAAAAGACTGATACAAGGTAAATGCACTAAAACCAAATTCTGAACTTGTTTATTCTGTTTAAAGTCTAGTGCAGACCAATACAAACATGAGTTCAAAACTACTGTTCATTTGGATTCTTTAATCAGTTAATTCTAAAAACTGGCTCATGAGGGACTTCCCTTTCTCCCACCCCAAACACACACACAACACACACAGTAGTACACACATACTCAACCACACATACTGGAGCACAATTTTGCACGTGAGTAGTAACTGTATGGAAAAAACTCTCTGTGAACTGAAGCAATAACATTTTTGAGCACCCGCTATCCATAAAGCACTTTGCCTAAGACTTGTGAATAAGGAATTCACACATCCACAGTCATCTTGAACCCAATTTCAGAGTCTATTACATTGGTGGTTAGGGCATGCCTCTGGGCATTGGGCTGCTGGGTTAATCTGGGAATTTTCCTCTTGGATCAGACATGAAACCAAGCTGAGAAAAAAATATGACAGGAGGTAGAGGGCAGTTGTCTTTCCCTTGCAATAAAAAAAAAACATGTATTCCAACAAACTGAAGTTCACTCTTTGTAGTTAAAACTACATGTTACTTTGAGTTCAAATTCTTTCTCTTAATATATAAGATTTATTGAAATTATGTTGTTTGAGCAGGACCAAGAAAGCTGAATATTATTTCAGGTTTTCAAGCCATAAGGAAAAATAATGCCTTTAGGTTTTCCATTCAGCTAGGAAAATTATAGCTTCATATTTGCAACCCTAAAGGTAATGCAGTGTCAGCACCTCCATCAAACCCCGTTGTTCAGCAGTTTATAATTCAAGCAGAAATGTTCACTCCAAGCCCAAACTTGGCCTACACAATCTCAAAGAAAATGGAGAAAAAATTATTTTGGCTAGTGCCGACTTAAAAAAGCAAAAGAGAGGGTGCTTTCACAGAGCATTTTGAAAAACATCTTTGAGAATTTGAGAATGTAACTGGGAATTACTGAGTTGACATCCTTCACTCCTAAAGTTATAGAAATAACAAAAATTCCATGACGTTACGTCAGCATCAGCAGTATCTTAACTACTTTGATGAAATTCTTCATCAGGTAGAATTCCATAACAGACAGAATTACTGTTCGTAGAGTAAAAGCAATTATAGTGGAAAATAAGGACAAATACATAGAAATTTCTCATGAGGGCATTCTAAGACATTAGACATATTTTTCTTTTAAGTACTAACTCTCTAGTGCACCATGCACACACATATAAAATGAAAAAAAAAACTATTTTTTCCAATTTTTAAAGTACATTGGAACAGCAGGCTGGAATTCCCAGAATCAACCTTCCTCCTTCCAAATGTTATTTTGGAGTTAGAAACAACTTAGCATTGAAGCAGATTTCCAGGGGCAGGTGACAAGAGCTATTGGGCCGCTCAACTCACTTGAGGTGGGTGGGTGCGAGAGGGGTTGGGGAGCTAGTCAGTTTTGGGATGCCGAGCCATCTGAAGTCATGTGGCAGGTGGGTTATAGACTGATTGCCTAGTGCCTTCCTGGCATCCTATGGATGAATCTAGCAGCCAACCCCTCATTACGCTGATCTTCTACAGTACTTTCAAAATATATCAAAACTTGAATATTGTGGTATCAGGACATTGTATAAGAAAGTCATACTCTCCTAGCTGTAGAAGGCTCTCTTGTATTACATACGTTGATATCTTAGGCACTTCATGTCTGTTTTTCACACAGCATTTATTAAAACCTTACTATGGGCCAAGCGACAGATGATTCAACAGGATTTCTGTTCTTCAGGAGATGTCATGAGGAAGTGAACAGTTCATAAAGACAACTCCAGTACAATCGTGGAGAGTCATCTGGACGACTTCACTGACAAGGATCCTGATGTGTCAGAGCGACACTTCCTCTCTTCCTTACCACGCACCTTTCACCACCCTTTGAAATCGCACTGACTCCCCTGACGTCCCCTTCCTTCTTCCCTAAACGCGTATTCGTTAATCAAACACTCCCTGCGGGTGCGACTCTGGGTCGTTTGGTGAGCGAAGGACCAGGCCTGGGAGAGCGGTAGCAAGTAGGGTTTTCGGAGGGGCAGCGGTGGCGTCTGGAAGAGAGGGCGAGCCTGGCGGCGTGGCCTGGAGTGTCTGGCCGGGCTTTGGCCTTGCCACGGGCAGAGAGAACTTACGGGGCTCTGGGCTCACCTGATTGAAGTGTGCAGCGATGAGCGAGGGTTCCCATGTCTTAGAATTCGTGCTCGCCGTCCAGCCTTTGTCTTTCTTGGGTGCCATGCAAAGGACGGGAGGATCATCGGTCTCTAAATGGGCTCAGGCCCGGACTAAGCGTCCCCGCTGCCGTAGTAACCGAAGCCACGCCCAGTTCCTTAACGAGTTCGGTTCCCCTCCCCTAAGACTGATTTGAATCCTCAGGTCAACTGCTTCCGTCGCCATAGCAACCGAGTTTCCGAGCGCGCGGCAACTCGCGGGCGGGACTCCCAGTCCCCCTGGTTGAATTTTAGGATTTTCCAGCAGGAGAACAGTGCAAGTGGAAGAGGACAAGACGAGACTGGCCTCGAGCTGGTCTGGCTGCTTTCCTTTACTCGCTTCGATCTTCTGCTGCTTCTTGGAGCCTTTCTTGGTCTGAGGCATTGTCTAGAGACTCAAAATCCCTGGAATCCCGTCCACGACTTAACCTAGACTAGAGAACTGACCCCCTCAGGAGACAGCCCACCCCGTTTCCTCATCCGCTCTCATCCGCCTCAAATGCTCCCTTATGTGAAGCTGGGTTTGTCTCCCCCACCCCCATCCTCTGCTTTGGTCTTGGTTCTGCCGCTCAGGGCCTTACTAAACAAGTCGGATCTCTCCTCCGAGAGACCTTTATATAATTGTAGACGGGATTGGTGTCTTTCTAACTCGTCTTCTCTGCCTAATCAGCCACAGTTCTTTTAAACTGTCCTCCACTGGTAAGTAGAGTCTTTTTCCCACCCCGCACTCCCCAATATCTAAAATATCCTGGTCAGACAGAGTCCCCCAGATAATAATAATAGTAATAATAATAATGCTAATAACAACAACTCTTTAAGTACTGGTTGTATCCTCTGCATAGTTATACCGTTTAATTCTTACAGCAACCTTTTTCCACGTCCCACAGTGTATGACTGATGGCACCAGGATTAGAATCCAGGATTATTTGAGCCCCAAATCCAGTGTGCTTAATCTCTACACTACTAAGCCCCACTGTTTTAGACCTGCCAAAATGAGAGATGCCACCCTTTTGGGGCTCGACTTATTTTATGTTTTACTGCAATGAGACAAATTAGAAGCACCCCAGCAGAGCTTAACCAAAGGTGTTTTGCCCTCTTTAGTCATTGATGCAGTGCTTAACTACCCCCCCCAGCCCTGCACTTTGCCTACACCTGAGATGTTTTCATTATCCCAATGGGCCAGGGATGGCTGAGGTGATATGTGTGACCTGCAGCTTAAACTCCACTCAGCACAACCTGCCAGGTGGTCTTCCACAGGGGAAAGGTGTTCTAACCCTTCTTATTGCTTTCTTTGAGAAAGAAACTGTGTGTGAGGGGGATGGTGATATCCAGTCACTACTTGCTTACTTCATTTGGGGGGCAGGTTTAAAGATGATGCTTCTTCTCAACTCTTGTTCCAGTGGGGACCAACGAAGGGAAAGTTTCTCTTCCCACTCCAATTCTTTAATATAGGTATTAAAGAGAAAGCATAATTTCTAGAAACAGTCTCTTCACAGGAAATTTACATGAAATTTCCACTTTTCCTTTCTTGTTGCAATATGTATACTTTATATCTTTTAGGGGGAAATAGATCTATGCAGCCTTAGTCACAAGTCACATCTCAAAGCCATCTCTTCTTGTTGGGAGAATAAAATGTCTGATGCATAGTGATGCTAGAGGGATCACGCCAGAGAGGGATTTTCCTGAGGGTCTCCATAGCAACCATCTAGGCTGCCACTGATTATCATAGAATTGTCTCCAAAATTTTGTTCTTCAGTAAAATTTTCATTATAAGATGAAAATTGTCTTTGGATTATGGCTTGAATATAAAGATGAATTTATTACAGACAAAAAAATCTGAGTAAACATTGATTACATCATTCTGAATTTTGATCATAATTCTTCCCATAGATTTAAATTGTTTGGGGAAAAAAATCCTGCATTTTTATTATAAAAGCTGTAAAAAGTTTGTTGGTCTTCCAGATATGTTTTATAAAAAATTTAACTAGATGTTTATGCATGTCATACTATGTTACTAATTTTCTTTCTTCTTGAATGTGAATGCATATTTCAAAATAAAACATAGTATGTACAATCAGTTCAGCCTAATCACTAGCAGATGATTAATAAACTAGTTTGCAAATAAAAGAGGGAAACGAAGAAAAAATGGAATAAGGAGAAAAAAGTAAAATTGTGTTATTTTAAAATTGTAGAGAAAGTATCACTAGCTATGTCTTACAAGTGACAGCTGTCCAACCCCAATTTTGCCAGCAATAAAATGTTTGTGACATTTATTGTGGCAAAAACTGACTAGCTGTTCATTGAACATTTCATTCTCTTTCCTCCTACTGTGAGAGTCAGACAGCATTTTTTAGCCTTCCTTATCCTTAGATGGGAACATGTGACTGAGTTCTAGCCAATGGAACAAAAGCCCATCCAAGCCTGGCCCTTAAAAATATCTCCCGAGCATTATTCATGTTCTTCCCCTATCTGCCTGGATATTGGGGTGACACTGAAAGCCTTGAATCTCTGAATGATTGCTGTGGCTCAGAGGTTCCAAAACCTCCCTTCCCCCGAGCTTCTCCCTGCTTTCTCCTCCAAAGGCGTTTGCTTGGGACTATTAAGTGGATATGAAATAGACTTTTATTTTCTTAAGCTGCTGAAATATTGGGGTTCGCCATAGCAGCTAAAGTTACCGTAACTTCTCTAACATTTTTGATAATTTTTATTTGAGAATCAGCTTTTAATAAATCTAACAGTAGCCAGCCTTCCCACAATGGCCTGAGAAAACAACCTTGTTACTTTCAAGTAGGCAAGACGCAAAGCTGGCTACGATGAGAGGCACCAAGATCTCACCCCTGCCCTTTGGGAGATTGTATCTAGTTTTACCCACCCAGTGGCACCCTTTACTTTGCCTTCTACCTGCTTATACAGTACATTCTTTCCCTTCCTTATCAAGTAAATAAATTTTTTACTTTAAATAAGTGGTTTGCATATTAAAGTAATACAGTAAACTAGTCTGCTTATGTCACATACACTTATGAAAATTTTGGTCTGTTTTTCAGAAGATGAAACAAGATCCATTGCTAGACATCTATATACATAAATTATAATTGAGCAAATGATTAAAAGGAATTGAACATTTTAAAAGTCGAAAATAAAGATTTCAGGATGAAAGAATGCACTTCCAGTATAATCTTTTATAGTTTCCTTTGCAAAGTCCTACCGAAATAAATTTAAATATGGAAGGTTTTCCAAAATTGATTTAGAGAATTTAAAATAAAGGTTTTATTACAGAATGTTTTTTGCCTAGTTTTGGCCTATTTCATTATTCTAGGGAAAGTGGTACTGTAGATAATTTATGATACAAACTGGGAAGACATTATACAGTTACCGAATTTATAGAAGTTTTCATCATAGAATTGTTCTGTTTAATTTCAGAAAATAGGTGTGAATGACAACGTTCATAGTTTTAAGAAGCGAAAGCCACTCAGCTAAAAAGAGACCCTGCCAAGAATAGAAAAAAGAAAAAGTGTTACCATCTGTCATACATTTAATGCTTTTTGGTATAATAAATTGTTTCCCCCACTAAATAAAAGTTGAAACTTTATAAGCATATACTTTACTACATAAATTTTCCCATATGTCAGTGGCTAAAACAAAACTATACTATTTGGAGAATTTTCTTTCACATTTGCAATGATAGTCCTAGTTTGTTTGATTTAGTTTCTCCAGTAAGATTTTACAATTAATATTATTTAGCTCACCAAGGATTGTCTACTTTAGGGATGTGCTGTTTCTGTAGGATACTATGATTACTGAATAAGTTATTTTTTCAAGTTTTATACTTTGATCTTAACAGTGTTCAGTGAACTCCTTCGTCTAAAGGTGTGAAGTCTGAGGCATTGTTTGTCAAACGTAAAAGGGTCAAGCCAGCTATTGACGAGTCCTGTATTTCCACTGTTATCAGGTAACGTCAGGAGCTATGGACCAATTCACTTCTAGGCCAAAATTTCAGGTATTCAGAGTACACATAGCTGCAGCAACCTGCTTGCCTTTGGCTAAGAAGGCCTCACAGATGCCCACTGATTTCTCAGATTGGCGTCCTACATCTAAGAACACCTTTCACTATATGTTTGCATGATTTACCATCAGGATCTTTGTGTTTCTGACCTTCCAGATAGAATGTTATAATGCACTGTCCTCGAGTTTTTATTGTGTGTGATGCAGAGGGCTCGATCTCTTTCAGCTACCAGGTCCAAAACATATGGAGAATATTACACCTGCATTCTATGGTCAGCATTAGCTTCCTATTCAGTCGTGAGTGCAATTTAAAGTATTGACTTTAATCTTTAAAGCCCCTCGTTGTTTAGAAGCTGGTTACTCCAGATATCCTCTCTCTCTCTATGCATCATCGTGGCAATTAAAATCAGTGGCAGTACTTGCTGTTCATAATCCCCAGTGAACTGTGGGGAGCCTGGGAGTAGATCACTTTCTAAAGAACTTCCCTAAGAACCCCCTGTTTGTGTCAATGATAAAAGCAATATTTGGAGTTTACAGTTTTGGCCTTGAATGTCTTGTCATATATCTGTAGGTCTCTGGAACCATAATTAAGTGCTGTTGATTTAATTTTTATGTTATTTTATTAGTTGTTTGTAGCCAAAAGTTTAGAATACCAAATCAACTTTTTAATGATCAGAAAAATAACAGTTGTATATATTAAAAATAGAAAAAGCTAAAATTCATCTGTTTCATATTTGTTACTGTGGGAGTTTTCACTCCAGTATTCTCTCACTCAAGTTTTTCTTTGAATCTAATTTTAAATGTCTTCAGTGAAGGGATTTGCTGTAAATCCTTTGGGGACTATTTAAAAATCCATAACTCATGGTAAGTCATTTCTCTAAATGCTTAGCTAAATGTTTGATTTCTTCATGTTTTATCGGATGTCTGTTACTTATAAATTTGAGCTATGTTAAATAATAACTTTCTTTTTACTGTGTACAAGGTTCAAAAGCTATGCTTGAGGTGAACCTACATCAAATCATATTATGCCAAACCATGGGGCAATCTTTTGGGGAGAAAAGTTGATCGGTAACAAGGCTTTGAGGAACTGGGAGCAT